AGCAAAGGTGCGATCTAATGTAACACGGAAACTCGACGTCGAAAAGCTGCAAACACAACAGATACCAGAAGTCTACTCCGCTCAACTTACCCAACTGCTTGACGAAAGCATCCCTTGTCCCGATAATAATATAGAAGCACAGTGGCAGAGAATTGCCCACTCCATACAAACTGCAGCAAAAGCAACACTTGGCTACCAAAGACCACCATCAAAAAATCTGTGGTACGATCAGGAGTGTCGTAATGCTACTGATATGAAAAACGCAATGTATAGGGAAACCCTGCGGACCGTAGCAACACGTAATGCGATGGAGAACTATCGGGAGAAAAGGAGAGAGGAGAAACGTATTTTCCGGAAAAAAAGAAGAAAGAACAAGAAAAACGTGATCGTGAGCAAATCTAGGTTTACAGGGGTCAGAATGAAGTCCGAAAATTCTACAAACGAGTAAAACACAAAACCGAAGGTTTTGGTGCAGGCACATTCTCCTGTAGAGATGATGAAGGAAACCTGGTGACACATACAGACAGCGTGCTGAGGATCTAGAAGTAGCATTTTGAAAAACTTCTAGTATCAAATAGTAGCGGTGAAAAGGATACCCCAGAACCAATAATAGATGACGGTATAGAGTATATACCACCCTTAGGCATGATGAAATCAGAATAGCAATCAATCGGCTGAAGAATAGTAAAGCAGCAGGTGCCGATGGGTTACAAGCCGAACTATTCAAGACTGGTGGTCAGATGCTGATAAGGAGCATGCACCAGCTGATGATTACCATTTGGCTAGAAGAATGCATGCCCAATGATTGGAACCTCAGCATCCTATGTCCCGTGCATAAAAAAGGAGGCAAGACCTTATGTGCCAACTATAGAGGAATAAGTCTCCTTCCCATCGCGCATAAAGTGCTATCCAGTGTGCTGTGTGAACGATTGAAGCCAATGGTCAATGACATTATTGGACCATACCAATGCGGCTTCAGACCTGGCAAATCCACCATTGACCAGATTTTCACTCTGCGCCAAATCCTGGAAAAGACCTACGAAAAACACATCGACACATTCCACCTATTCGTCGACTATAAAGCTGCATTCGACAGCCCTATCCGTTCAGAGGTGTTTAAAGTTATGTCTACGTTCGGCATTCCTTCGAAATTAATACGGTTATGCAGGAAAACTATAAGTGGCACAAGATCAGCAATTAAAGTCGGAAAGGACCTCTCGGAGTCTGTTTATTGAGAACAAAAATTAATTTATCAATTGCTATTTTTCTGGTCAGGTATATAGGCTATTCACTGGTCATATATAAAGCCGCATTCGACAGCCCTATCCGTTCAGAGGTGTTTAAAGCCATATCTGCGTTTGGCATTCCTGCAAAATTAATACGGCTATGCAGGATAACTTTAACTGGCACAAGGTCAGCAGTTAAAGTCGTAAAGGACCTTTCGGAGCCCGTTTAATATCGAACAAGGATTCCGACAAGGTGACAGTTTGTCGTGTGATCTTTTTAACATCCTGCTGCAAAAGGTCATACGAGATGCAAAAGTGAACAGAAATGGCACTCTGTACACCAAATCGCATATGTTACTAGCCTACGCCGATGACATCGACATAATGGTTTTAACACTGAGAGTTGTAACAGCCACCTTTGAACAAATTGAGAAGGAGTCTGCCAAAGTGGGTCAGTGGCCAGTAAACGGCGAGAAGACCAAGCTGATGGTATCAACGCGCAAGACGTCCAGTAGACTCGGACCAACTGTGGAACTTGAGAACTACAGCTTCGAGGTAGTTAAACATTTTATATACCTTGGTGCCGCCATAATTAAAACGAATGACATCAGTTTTGAAATTCGGAGAAGGATTGTGATGGCTAACCGAATGCTACTATGGTCTGAGCAAACAGCTCAAAAGCAGCAAGGCCACCTCCCGCCAGTCCAAATTCACACTCTACAAGACGCAGATACTACTCGTGCTATTATATGGATCTGAAATATGGGTAGTTACGCAAGCAGATGAGGCAGCTCTTGGGGTGTTTGAAAGAAAAATTCTCCGAAAGATCTATGGGCCGATCTGCGTTGACGGTGAATATCGCCGTCGAATGAACCATAAGTTGTACCAGCTATTCTCGGACATCGCCATTGGTAGACGTATTGAGCTGCAGCGACTACGTTGGCTAGGTCATGTTGTGAGAATGGATGAAGATGCCCCAGCCCAGAAGGCATATAAAAGCGAACCAGCTGATGGTTCACGCAGAAGAGGAAGGCCAAAAATACGTTGGAAAGATCAAGTCGAAGGCAACATTGCCGAAAATGGTCTTTAAAATTGGGAAAACTGTACAAAAGACCGACGCGTCTGGAAATCTTTTTTAAGTTCGCGTTATGGAACGAAAGTTCTGTCAGAATCCAGCTAAGTAAGTTTTTCAAAATGCTCCTTCCAGATCCTCAGCACGCTGTCTGTATCTGTCACCAGGTGTCCTTCTTCATCTCTACAGGAGGATGTGCCTGCACCAAAGTCTTTGGTTTGGTGTTTTACCCGTTGGTAGAATTTACGGACTTCATTCTGACTCCTGTACATCTCGATTTGCTCACGCTCACGTTTTTCTTGTTCTTTCTTCTTTTTTTCTGAAAATACGTTTCTCCTCTCTCATTTTCTCCTGATAGTTCTCCATCGCATTACGTGTTGCTACTGTCGGCAGGGTTGCCCTATACGCTGCGTTTTTCATATCAGTAGCATTACGGCACTCTTGATTGTACCACGGATTTATTGATGGTGGTCTTTGTTACCAAAGTGTTGCTTTTGCTGCAGTTTGTAGGGAGTGGGCAATTCTTTGCCAATGTGCTTCTATACTATTATCGGGACAAGAAGTGCTTTCGTCAAGCTGGTGGGTAAGTTGAGCGGAGTAGGCTTCTGCTATCTGTTGTGTTTGCAGCTTTTCGACGCCGAGTTTCCCTGTTACATTAGATCGCACCTTTGCTGCTACATTAAGACGGGTGCGTACCTTGGCTGCCACAAGGTAATGGTCCGAATCGATATTCGCTCCTCGAATCGATCGGACGTCTAAAACACTGGATAAATGCCTTCCGTCTATCACAAAATGATCGATTTGATTTCTCGTTGTTCGATCGGCAGAAATCCAAGTGGCCTTGTGTATATCGAGATGCTTGAATCTGGTGCTGCTAACTACCATGTTTTTTGCTGCCGCGCGAAGTCAATCAATCTCATACCGTTGTCGGATGTTTCTTCATGGAAGCGGAATTTCCGACAATGGAGCAAAAGATATATTCCCTTCTGATTTTTGCATTAAAATCTCCTAGCAGAATTTTAATGTCATGGCCAGGGCAACACGGTCATATGCTGTTTCTAGGCGCTCGTAAAATATGTCTTTGGTCTCTGTTCATCTTTATTTTCGGTCGGAGCATGGGCGCAAATGAGACTGATGTAGAAGAACATCGCTTTTATACGGATTATAGTAAATCGCTCATCTACTGGAGTGAATCGGGAGACGTGGAGGTCTTTTATTCTCCTGTTAACCATAAATCCGCAGCCAAATTCATGTCTCGTTTCATGGCAGCTATAATACAGGGCGTAATCATCTGATTTACTTACGCCAGTCCCATTTTTAAAAAAATTACGAATTGTGGGCGGCTTAAATTGCAACCTGCACGTATCATTCTTCTTGTTCCTCCTACCCTTCCACCTCCTGCCTTTTGAAAATTTATTCAAATATTACAATAATTGAATCTTATTGACAATGGAACAGATGTAAAAGGCGTCAAAAAGGTTTCATCGGATAATTATAGCCTCAAAAATCTAAATGCCGAACACAGCAAGAGGTTGTCCGCAGCCCAGCCGCATTCATCATTTAAAGTTTAGGGTGGTTCAGCAGCAGGCATTTAATTTTGGGTTGTTGGTTGACGAATGGTAAATTAGCACTCAATGTGCGCCACCCACCCCTCCTCCTCCGACCATCGAACAACATCTCATCTGACAAAATCCCCCAAGAGATTTCAGCTTACCGAAGGACAGGAAAATTAGTTCTCTCTTCACGCAAATTCACAATTGAAAAGACCGACATGTCAAAGGTTTTCCGTTGGCGTTGTTGTCATTGAATTGAAAGGGGTATGTTCGGAACGTGATGTCTTATAATGCAACATTTCCAACATTTTCGTATTTACATCGAAGTGAAAAAACACAAATTTTTTGCTTGAGAGTATTTCTTGGTATTTATTTGATTTTTTTAAGTTATGGTCAGTTCATCGAAGCGAACCTAACAATTTAATAGATTCTCCAAAATTTGAGTATAAATTTCAATGCCACGCAAATAGGTATCGGCTGAGAGGTATTCATTGTGATCGTGTAGCAACACCGGAGTATTTGGCATTGGCGAAAAGCCAATGGAGGGTATACCCTTGGCACGTAAAAATTGGCTATCGGTGCCGCCGGGAAAGACATGGGTTTCCAGGGGGAGATCCCTAAAAAATTAAAGAAAACAAATTATTAAAAAATCCCCACATCAAAAATTTTGACTTACATATCCTGCATGGCCTTTTCGAAGGCCACCCAATAGGGATTACTGGCATCGGTTATGGTCTTGGGAGCCGTATCAATTCTCAACACCCATTCCCATTCAATGTCACCTCCCGCCTCATCACACCATTTCTTTAATAGATTTTCAAATTCCTTGAGGTCCACATCGACGGCAATGCGCATATCAAAACAAGCCTCCAGCAGGGCAGGTACCACATTTGATTGGACTCCACCCTTGACCATGGTTAAATTAATGGTGGTAACATCTCCCACGTGAAGGGAGGGATCCTTGGCCATAAGTTCTTGTTGCGACGAACGGTAGGCCATCATTTTTGCCAAGAGGTAATTGAACTTCTGACCAGCCGTATTGGGCAAAAGCAGGGAACCATGGCCCGCTGAACCCTTGAATTTGAAGTTGATTTCTGAAAATAAAAAATTAAAATATTTCCCAAAAATTCTCCCCTTTCCTCCTTCAGCTCACTTACGCCACAAACTCCTCTCGGCATAATAGGCCACAAATCTGCCATCCTCCGTTGCCATACCCTCATCCAAGGCAAAGCCCACCTTTAGGTCCTCAAATTCCTTGCTCTTCACAAATTCCTGCAAACTATTTTGACTTCCCGTCTCCTCATCGGGTACGAACATAATGTGTACGGTACGTCGTAGTTTTTCATGTTTACTCTTGAGTACTCGCAAGGCAGCCAAATACTGGGTACCAACACATTTCATATCTTGGGCGCCACGAGCATAAATTTTACCCCCCGCATCCATGTGTGCAGCAAATGGTGGATATGTCCATTTATCTTCAAAGACCGGTACAACATCCATATGCGAATTAAGTAGGATTGCTGGTAGCTCTGGTTGGTAACCCTCCCAGGTTCCAATTATTACCGGTTTGGTTGCATCGCCATTGATGTGATATACCTTATAGGGAATTTCCAACGCATCCAATTGTTGGGAGAGAAATTTGATACAGGGTTCTGTGGGAGAAGGAAGAAGAAGAGAATAAAGATAGGTTCTTAAAAAAGGTCTCCAAAAATATGTTTAGAAAATCCACGCCTATGGATAGGCTCTTGAAAAATTATTTTTAAAAAAATCCACTCAATCAAAAGGAAACCCAGGAGAAGAACCTACGTGCCCATCATTATGCGACGCGTTTCGCCGTTGATTAAGCGGCTCATCAGGCATATTGGGCTATGTGGCTTTACAAAGGTCGTATGTTAATAACTTGTATTTATTCCGCCCTGATGCGAAACTTGCATATGCGAATTAAATTCAAATTTGTCAAGATTCGACATTTGTGTTCATTCTAGAAACAGTCATTTTCAAAATCGCTTAAGTCCATTGGATATAGCCGAGTGTATTCACATGCTGGAAAAGTTTTTGTAAAGAAGACCGAAATAACCAAACCTAGGTTAATAAACTCTATGGAAGATGTCGATACAATATTATTGGAAGCCACCACAAATAATCGACATTCAAAAAGACAATCCCAAAAACCTACTGTTCCTGTATTAAATTATTCCGATATATCAGAGGATGAAAAGAGCTTAGAAAAGATTTCCAGGCGCGTCGGTCTTTTGCGCAGTTTTTCCAATTTGAAAGACCATTTTTGGCGATTTTGTCGTCGACATGATCTTTCCAACGTATTCTTGACCTTCCCCTTCTGCGTGAACCATCAGTTGGTTCGCTTTTATATGCGCTCTGGCCTGGGGCATCTTCATGACCTAGCCAACGTAGTCGCTGCAGCTCAATACGTCTAACAATGTCGATATCCGAGAATAGCTGGTACAATTCATGGTTCATTCGACGCCGATATTCATCACCGTCAAAGCAGATCAGCCCATAAATCATTCGGAGAATTTTTCTCTCAAACACTCCAAGAGCTGTCTCATCTGCTTGCGCAAGTACCCATGCTTCAGATCCATACAACACAGCACGGGTAGTATCAGCGTCTTGTAGAGTGTGAGTTTGGTCTGGCGGGAGGTGGCCTTGTTTTTGAGTTGTTTGCTCAGACCATAGTAGCATCGGTTGGCCATTACTATCCATCTCCGAATTTCAAAACTGATGTCATTCGTTTTGCTTATGGCGGTACCAAGGTATATAAAATCTTTGACTACCTCGAAGCTGTAGTTCTCAAGTTCCACAGTTGGTCCGTTGGTCTACTGGACGTCTTGCGCGTTGATATCATCAGCTTGGTCTTCTCGCCGTTTACTGCCAGACCCACTTTGGCAGACACCTTCTCAATTTTGTTCAAAGGTGGCTGTTACCGCTATCAATGTTCGAACCATTATGTCGATGTCATCGGCGTAGGCGAGTAACATGTGTTTTTTGGTGTATTAATTTTGCAGGAATGCCGAACGCAGACATGGCTTTAAACACCTCTGAACGGATAGGGCTGTCGAATGAGGCTTTATATATGACCAGTGAATAGCCTATATACCTGACCAGAAAAATAGCATTTGTATAAATTAATTTTTGTTCTCAATAAATAGACTCCGAGAGGTCCTTTCCGACTTTAACTGCTGATCTTGTGCCAGTTAAAGTTATCCTGCATAGCCGAATTAATTTTGCAGGAATACCGAATGCAGACATGGCTTTAAACACCTCTGAACGGATAGGGCTGTCGAATGCGGCTTTATAGTCGACGAATAGGTGGGATGTGTCGATGTGTTTTTCGTGGGTTTTTTCCAGGATTTGGCGCAGAGTGAAAATCTGGTAATTGGTGGATTTGCCAGGTCAGAAGCCGCATTGGTGTGGTCCAATAATACCATTGACCATTGGCTTCAGTCGTTCACACAGTACGCTGGATAGCACTTTATATGCGATGGGAAGGAGATTTATTCCTCTATAATTGGCACATATCGTCTTGTCTCCTTTTTATGTGCACGGGACACAGAATGCTGAGGTTCCAATCATTGGGCATGCATTCTTCTAGTCAAATTGTACTAATCAGCTGGTGCATGCTCCTTACCAGCATCTGACCACCAGTCTTGAATAGTTTGGCTTGTAAGCCATCGGCACCTGCTGCTTTATTATTCTTCAGCCGATTTATTGCTATTCTGATTTGATTTCATCGTGGCTGGTTGGTCTACACTCTATACCGTCATCTATTATTGGTTCTGGGGTATCCTCTTCACCGCTACTATTTGATACCAGAAGTTTTTCAAAATGCTCCTTCCAGATCCTCAGTACGCTGTCTGTATCTGTCAACAGGTTTCCTTATTTATCTCTACAGGAGGATGTGCCTGCATCAAAGCCTTCGGTTTGGTGTTTTACCCTTTGGTAGAATTTTCGGACTTCATTCTGACTCCTGTACATCTCGATTTGCTCACGCTCACGTTTTTCTTGTTCTTTCATCTTTTTGTCGGAAAATACGTTTCTCCTCTCTCCTTTTCTCTCGATAGTTCTCCATCGCATTATGTGTTGCTCCTGTCCGCAGGGTTGCCCAATAAGCTGCGTTTTTCACATCAGTAGCATTACGACACTTCTGATCGTACCACGGATTTCTTGATGGTGATCTTTGGTACCCAATTGTTGCTTTTGCTGCAGTTTGTAGGCAATTCTCTGCCATTGTGCTTCTATATTCTTATGGGGACAAGGGGTGCTTTCGTCAAGCAGTTGGGTAAGTTGAGCGGAGTAGGCTTCTGATATCTGTTGTTTTTGCAGCTTTTCGACGTCATGTTTCCGTTTTACATTAAATAATTATAAAAATTCCAGGCCTAAAAATAGGCCCCTATTCACGCCTAAAAATAGGCCTCTAAAAATATTTTTAAAACATCTACGCCTTAAGATATGCTTCAAAAATTATTTTTAAAATAATCCAAGCTATGATCTAAAAATATTTTTTTAAAAGAAATCCACGCCTAAGGATAGGCTCTTGAAAAAAGTATTTTTAAAACTCCTTTTTGAAATAAAACTCCAACAATTTTATAAGGTATATTGTCCTTACTTTATTATTTCTATATTTTTATTATTATTAGTTATTGTAAATTTTTTATTAACAAAGCTTTTAGCGGCGTTAGAAAAAAAAATGGTTTTTCTGTGTGTTTTTTTTTCGTTTCTTCAGGTAACTTGTTAACAGGAATAAAATCAGATTCATTGTGCAATCGTCGTCAGCAGCAACCGCCTCCCCCTTCGCATCATCATCTTCTAGGCATTCAATACAGCTGGTATTAGCTTTTCATAGATCTCAATGCCACGCAAATAGGTATCAGCCTTAAGGTATTCATCATGATCGTGCAATAGCACGGGCGTATTGATCATGGGTGAGAAACCGATTGAGGGTATGCCAGCCGCGCGTATATAACGGCTGTCGGTGCCACCGGGGAAGATAAGTTTGCGGATTTTCAAGCCCCTAAAAAGAAGAAATGGTTTCAGAAGAGCTTGGAAGGTTTGAGGGTGTCGGGGACTTACAATTCCTTGACCAAACAATTTTCAAAGGCCACCCAATAGATGTTGGAACTATCGGTTTTTGTGGGCTCAACCTTGGGTTGTTTCTGTTCGAAATGCAATTCAATGTCGCCGCCAGCTTCTTCACACCATTTGCGTACCTGTAAAGTTGGAGAGAGAGAGAGAGACAGAGTGAGGAATAAATGTGAAATGAAATAAAAAGAAAAACAAACACATGTAAGAGAAGAAATACATTGGAAGAGGTATAGCAAGAAAGGGGAGGTAGAAGAGGAAAAAAATTAAATATTTAAAAAAAATCCGCGCCTAAGAATAGGTTGCCAAAAATTAAAAAAAACCGACTAAAGATAGGCTACTAAATGTCCCCCTTTTATTTTTTTCAAGAAACCGCTACTCTTCGCTCTCAATTGGTTCCTGATCTTCGTCTGACCCGATATATTTCTACATGATTTTCCATCCAAGCTTAACTATTTTCCCGTTGCAAACATCACTCTTTTTCTACTTCTAATCCGATAGATACATAGCCAAATGTTTATATCGTCAAAACATCTGTCAAATACTTCTTGAGCTGATTTTCTGACAATGCTTCGACTGATTTTCCATTTAGGCTTAAATATTTTTCACTCATTTTCTACTTCCAATCCGATAGATACTAAGCCAAAATGTTTGTAGCTTCCGAAGATCTGACAATTGTTCTTCAATTGCTCCCTGAATTGCTTCTGATCCGATATATTCCCCACATGATTCTCCACATATGCTTTAATATTCTTCGACTGCAATCATCAATATTTTCTACTTCTAATCCGATAGATACCAAAGCAAATGTTTATACCTTTCAAAGAGCTGACAATTGTTCTTCAATTACTTCTTGAGGTGATCATCTGATTCGATACATTTCCCACATGATTTTCTATATAGGCTTAAGTATTCTTCATTGCAATCATCACTCAATTTCTACTACTAATCCGATAGATACCACGCCAAATGTTTATAGATTCCGAAGAGCTGACAATCGTTCTTTAATTGCTTCCTGAACTGATCTTCTCATCCGTTACATTCCGCACATGATTTTCCATCTAGGCTTAAATATTCTTCTTCTCATTTTCTGATTCTCCACATTCGACTGCAGTCCTCAATATTTTCTACTTCGAATCCGATAGATACCACTCCAAATGTTTATAGCTTCAGAATAGCTGACAATCGGTTCTCAATTGCTCTTGAACTGATCTTCTGATCCGATACATTCTCCACATGATTTTCCATCTAGGCATAAATATTTTGCTCACCTAAACATCACTCATTTTCTACTTCTAATCCGATAGATCTCAATCGTTCTTCAATTACTTCGTGTACTGATCTTCTGATCCGATACATTCTCTACATGATTTTCCACACAGAGGCTTAAATATTTTTCGACTGCAATCATCACTCATTTCTACTTCCAATCCGATAGATACTAAGCCAAATATTTACAGCATCTGAAGATATCGCAATCCTTCTTCAATTGCTTCCTGATCTTCTGTCCCGATACATTTCCCACACAATTTTCCATGTATGGTTAAATATTCTTCCACTGCAATCATCTAATTTTCTACTTCTAATCCGATAGATACCAAGTCAAATATTTATATTCTTCAGCAAATCTGACAATCGTTTCTCAATTACTTCATTAGGTGATCCTCTGCTCCGATAGATTCTCCACATGATTTTCCATTTCGGTTTAAATATTCTTCCCATCCAAACATCACTCATTTTCTACTTCTAATCCGATAGATTCCAATTGCTTCCTGTGCTGAACTTCTTATCCGATACATTCCCTCATGATATTCCAAATAGGCTAACATATTTTTCCTCTAATATTTTCTACTTCTAACCCAATAGATACCACGTCAAATGTTTACAGCTTCAGAAGATCTGAAAATCGTTTCTCAATTGCTTCCGATCCGCTACATCTTCCACATGATTTTCCATTTAGACTTAAATATTCTTCTCCTCCAAACATCACCCATTTTCTACGTCTAATCCGACAGATACCACGTTAAATGTTTGAAGATCTGTCATTCGTTTTGACAAACATCTTTACCTGCTTTTCAAATTCCTCATGATCGACAGTAATGGCTAGACGTATATCGAAACAGACATCCAAAAATGGTGGCACCACATTACTCTGAACGCCACCGTTAATGGTGGTTAAATTAACTGTGGTCACATCACCAATCGATAGGGACGGATCGTTTTCTAAGCGCTGGGCTTCGTGTTCACGGAAGGCCATCATTTTATTGAGAATATAATGGAGTTTTTCACCGACGGTATTTTTTAGCAACAGGGAGCCGTGACCGGCATGGCCGGTTATCTGGAAGTGAATTTCTGGAAAGAAGGGAGGAGAATTTTTTTTATTAAAATAATCGAAATAAAGGCTGCTGGCTGACTTACGCCAAATCGATCTCTCAGCATAGTAGACACAATAGCTGTCATCCTCAGCGGCCACACCCTCATCCAGTGAGAAGCCAACATTTAACTTTTTGAAGTCTTCGGTTTCGATGAAGGGTTCCATACCCAAGTGGCCACCGATTTCTTCATCTAAAAACAGGGAAAACAAATTAAATTAAATTGAAATAGCCAAGAAATTTAAATTTAAAAATTAATATTGTAGGCTCTGAAATCCTATACTCTTAAATTTTATTTAATTTAAATTTGAAATCAGCGACCTGAAACCTCTAAAACGGCATTTACATTGGAACTTTTTACAGGGTTAACCTACTTTATGAGGATTTATTTGACATATATGCAAAGGAATTGACAATTGAAACCCACTGGGTTAACGGAATCCGGTTAAATGTAAACGTACTATAACATTTCAAAACTACAAAGCTACTGCAACAAAACTAATTTTTCGAACTACTGAGCCCTTGGTAAAGTAGCCATTTTCAGACCTAGAAACCCCAACTAGTTTCCAAACATTATTTTAAAATTCCCAACAGCTTTCCCTTTGCCAAATCTAACCCTTAATTGTTAATTGAAAGCTTTTCATGGAGAGTCGGAAGTCTATTGCAGGTTGTAAGGGGAAGAGTAACTTCCATTAACACCATTTTGTCGGCTTTTGAATAAAAATTTGTCAATTTAATTATCAAATTACAGGTTGTAACATTAAAAAGTCTCTGGTCTGGCAGACATTAAAAGTTACCCGCATAATTGCTATGTGTAAGCAATTAATGTCACAGCGGGGGAGAAAATATTCTACTGGGGGTTGAAAAAAACAAAATCCGCAAGCCGCAGCCAACGAAAATAAAGAGGATGCTGATGTCTCCAAGGATTCTCTGTTGAGACAATTTTAATTTTCTGAACGTGACTCAAAAATATTGGGGAAAGATAAGTATTTTCTTCTGGAAAAGTTCGGAGAAAAATTGAGAATCGAAGCCTTTACATCAAAGGACAAGAAGAACTAATCTGAGGGTTCTGGAAACTCATCAACAGTATACGATATCAGATGTCTATTCTTTCAAGAAAAATTCAATGTAATTTACTGCTTTAAGAATGTAGTCAAGGGATCATAGTTCCTTCAATTTTATTCACCTCCTTATTCCCCACACGATTTTCCATTTAGGTTTAAATACTCTTCCATTGCCAAAAATCGCCCATTTTCTACTTCTAATCTGATAGATACGACGCCAAATGTTTATAGCTACATAATAGCTGACAATAGTTTCTCAATTGCTGATCTTCTGATCCGATACATTCCCCACATGATTTTCCATTCAGGCTTAAATATTCTTCCATTGCCAACATTATTTATTTTCTACTTCCAATCCGATAGATACCACCACAAATGTTTATAGCTTCAGAATAGCTGACAATCGTTTCTCAATTGATTCCTGAACCTGATCGTATATAGGATAATCCTGCCAAACTCTATCCAGTGGCGTTCAGGTTCGTCCGTTGGGGAAATAATC